GGGTGGTTTGCAGGACAAGTTTTATGTTTTTTTTTTTTTTTTTTTTTTTGCTTGTTTTTTCAGCCACTTCACGTGATTTCAGGAATTTCAGGTGGGGACCTGAAACCGCTGAAGTGGCTGAAGCTTCTAAATGGGGTTTCAGGTACCCCTATCTAAATGGTTGGATAGAGGTACCTGAAACCCCTTTCAAACGCTTCAGCCACTTCAGGACATTTCAGGAATTTCAGGTGGGGATCTCAAACCATTGAAGTGGCTGAAACCCCTTTCAGAAGTTTCAGCTACTTCAGGTCATTTCAGGAATTTCAGGTGGGGACCTGAAACCGCTGAAGTGACTGAAGCTTCTGAAAGGGGTTTCAGGTACCTCCATCCCACCATTTGCAATGGATCAACCTGAAGTGGCTGAACTGCCTGAAGGCGGTTTCAGACAACCCCATGTATAGATCCACACACAATCTGAAAGTGTAGTAACCTAAAGTGGTTGAACTTTCTGAAAGGAGACCTGAAAATATATGCACCCGTTAACCATCTCTCCATCAGACAAACCTTTCAACCACTTCTTACATGTGCGACAATTCGTATACTTCAGTTGACTGTCATTACAACTACGGTGACAAATGACAGATAACAAAGCATTTATATCTCCATCAGATAAGTCAATGCCCCCTCTCGCAGAGCACAACACAGCTGTCAACCGATGCTCTGAAGAAAATTCGTCGTCAGGGTCATCCTCCTCAACATCCATGATTGCATTATCTTCAATATCGTTATCGCATTCATGTTCGTCATCATTTATTTCGTTGTTTTCAACTTCATTTTCTGAAACGCGAAGACCCATTTCTCGTTCGTGGACCTCGTCTTCATTGTGCACAGTCTCGCCCACACACTCCCTCGACCTGTGAGACTCCAGTGTCCTTCTGTATCTAAACCTTGGTCCACAATCGAAACATGACTTCATATTGTGTCCACTCGGCCTCCAATCTAATGCACGGTAATGAAAAATATAAGACGAAAATAATCTCCGTTGTGAGTGTTCTCTGTGAAACATACAATCAATCGGGTCGTATAAAATTAGTCCCCCCCCGTGAATATGAAGAAAAATGAATCAAAGTTGTACTTTTATTTATTTTACCCGCATTTCTTTCAATGACAATTCTCATTATCACTAATAAAAATTGAAAAATATTTCAGTTTCAAATAACGTAAATATTAAGACAACACGTTCATAAAAATATTACTTATTATGGACTGTACACATAGTTCACCCAACACCATCACAAGAGTCAAAAATATGTCTAAACACTTCACTCATGATACAAATATACGTCACTTTGCCTGCACTACAACTAGAGTTCACAAAACATCATCACAATAGTCAAATGATAAAAAATAAACACTTCACTTTGAAAGAATGCATTGTTCGATGACATCACCCAAAACTGTACAAAAAAAAAAAAAATCGAAATACAATTTTCAGGCTTCCTTTTTTTAAGTCCAACCATAACCATGAATTTTTGTTACTACGAACTCCTCTGTTTTTTCAGCCTGTTGCTGCAACTTTTATCCTCCTCAATTCTATCATTCAACTCATCTTCCCTCACACCGTACAGAA